TCATCCCTTTGAATTAATAAGGTCTTGTTTGTAGACAAGGGTTTCTTGAATTTATCATTCTAGCTGTGAACAGATAGATACTTTGGGAGGAGCCATTTTGACTAATTTTCTTTCTTCTTTAACCATCCAATACATGTTTCTCAAATGTCTCCGATGTGTCAGAAACTGAAAAAGGTACTGAGGCACTAGGAGTCAAACTATATCTTGACATTTCTGTGATATCTTATAAATTAAACGTATGGGTTAATTTTGGCACATGGGTTTTAAAATATGTATTTTTTATATACTAAGAACCAAAGAATGTATATATTAAAATATGTACTCACTTGAACATTACTAGCAAAAATATATTTAGTTATTTATAAATAAATACTTGTTTGTTTTAAATGCTGAAGGAAAGTGTAATGCTTTTTCTTATAGTAAAAAAAGACAAAACTAACAGATTATGTATTTATAAATATTAATTTTCCAATAATATTCATTTTGCATGTCTTTCCATAGACAAACACACATAACTTCAGATGACTGATGTGCATGGTGAGAAAGTCTCTAAGTGGTATAAGACTGGTTTAATCAAACACTCATTTCCAGTAGCTCTCCAAATTGTATGCTTCCTCTCTCCATTTCCTAAGAAGATCTATCCTGAGGAAAGCTTGCTAGAATAAGTAATATGTGCTTTGTATTTCTAAAAGGAAGAAACAAAGAACTGAAGAGAAAAGCTGGGTTGTGAGAGAAGACAAGCACTTTCTGAGGTAATGTACGTGAAATTGTATGCCTTGGAAGAAAGACAAATTGTCAGCAGGATACAAAGTAAAGATTCTTTGCTCAGAAATACTCCACCTAGGTGGTTAGTTGTTTTGTTTTCCCCTAACACAAATCTTCCCTGTAAACCAGCTAAATGAGGGAAACTCTACTTGAAGATGCCACAATTTCAATCCCCAATCAGGCCAGAAGGAATGGAAGTGGGGCAAGAAGAAGCAAGGTGGAGAGCAAAAGTGTGGCATTGGTAAACACTGAGGTTTACTCTCTGGAATATCTGGGTCATCTCCCCGGAGGGTGGGGGAAAAAAAACACTCAGGAGGAAAATCAAACCTCAAAAGAAAATGCAAAGGCTATATAAAAGTCACACTGGAACTAAGGTGTGATGGGGACAGACAAAGGTATCGACTCATCTGTCCCAAATTTGGTCACAAACAGGGTATCTGTGAACCCAAACATGAAAATACAGACAGGAGGGAGAAGTTAAGATTTAGAAAAAATTAAATATAACTTTAGTGATTCAGAAAAGTTGACAAGACACTCAAAGAAAGTGGACTCACAAAATGTTTTTAATCACTATTTTTTTTTACATTTTTTTCCTATGAGCATCTTTAAAAACAAAAAAAAGAAAGAAAGAAAAAAAAAGTCATACCATTTGATTCAGGTTAAGGCTGTTCTAAAACCATACACCTATTTACTGGTGCCTAAAATTCTTTGCAAAAATTATTGCAAGCTTAAAAAAATATATTGCAAGCTTATCTTAGATATTTTAACTCCACATTTCTGGTGTGATACAAAGAATTTTGTTGAGTTTTTATGTCTATCACCTCTATTATGCCAACATATCATTAATATTGGTATGTTTTCCCACATATTTTATCTATATTTTTATATTTTCATCTTTTCTGTATTTTTCCATGAGAAAGTATCACCTTAAAAATCAATATTACCAAAGGAATATACACAGAGTCTATATTAAGAAAGAAAATATCAATAATAGTGTTTTTTCCACATCTCAATATTAAGAAATAAACATTCATAAATATCAAATTCATCACATATATAATGCAGTTTGTTGTCTTAAATTAAAATGAAAATGGGTATTACTGAGTTGTATAACAAATAGAACCTAACATAATTTGTTTATCCATTGTTCAATTAGAAAAATTTAAAAGACTAACAATGAATACGAAAACTGACGTTTACCTTCTAATAACACATTAGGGATATTTTAGTTAGGTATATTACATACAAGGATTTCTCTTATAATACAGGTGATTTAAATAACTTCTTAAGTTACTACTTAGATAAGAGCCTCATTCCAAATTGTGGGCACAATTTTTATAACACAAACTCGTTTTTGCCATTATGCTTTGTTAGGTGTTTGGGAAAATAAAAGTTTGCAGTGATCCAGCTGCTTAAAGAAAGACATAAAAAACTCTTAAAAGTTAAGTAGCAAAAGAACTAACAAAAAGGGTCCAGGCCCTTGAAGCATTTGCTTTCACCATGCGCCACTACTGCAGTGATGAAAATTATAAGAGTTAAATACTGAACAAGACTGAATAACTCATGAAAATATAGAGGGGAAAATCTCTGGGGAGAATTATAGCTGAGTCCTTAACAGGTATTAGAGACAGGCTCAAATCATGGCTCTGTCATTATCCAGCTACTCTATATTTTACATGAAACATTAACTTTTCCTACTGAGCTTCAGTTTCTTCTTCAGAATAGTGATACTCATACCTAACAGGGAGGCTATGGTGAGAATTAAATAAAATAATGTACACAAACATTTAACCCATGTGGTAAATGAGATGCAGTAAGTGCCAATAAATGGTAGCTATTTTAAATAAGTGATTTTTTTAACAGCATTGGAAAAGTCTGTATTTTATGCTAGAGATAAGAAAAAGAATTTAGTGTTGCTCTAAATCACAACTTACTATAGATCAGGGAATGTCTATAAATTGAGATCCAGAAAATTTTAATAGCTTACCTTAGCTTAAGGACCCATGCTTTTTTGTTAAGAAACCAGACCATATTCTGAACCCTGGCTTCCTGATCTCTGTTTTTTTTTTTTTTTTTCTACTAAACAAATCTACCTTTCAAATAAGTCACTATACTTTATTTCATGGTTTATACTTTCTTTTGTATTTTTTTTAAATCATGTTAAATTCACTGAATGAATTCCCAGTTATGCATTACACTTTTAATTGAAACATACTGAAGATAATTAAACAAGCGCAATCATGCTATGCTATATAAATTAAACCAGTATGTAAACTGGCAAGTGGCTGCACCTAGGTTTATAATTCTTATTTAATAAAACAATCAGATAAATATTTTAATATAATGGACATACATCTAAGGTGATCCATAAATTTCATTATTTTTTATTTTTGTTTTGTTTTTGATCCATAAATTTTAAGGATTACCAGAAACCTGAACATATAAACATACAGGATACTCAGAAATTGAATTGTTCATCTCTGAAAATTTATAAGAGAAAGGAAATGTGTGGTAAACCATACTTCTTTTATGCAAAAATATGTGCACAAATTCTTATTTATATTGAAATAATTTAAGTAGATGATTTTTCAAAATAAGTTGGGCAGAGGATTTTGGAGTAACTGTCCTCAAAGAAATTCTGAAGAAATATAGAAAATTGAAGAGACAGCTGTGAAATTTTTTAATATTTAAAAATTGTGAAAAAATCTAGCTTGACATTTTCTACTTCAGCTTTCATGTTTCAAAAATATGATTGAAAGTTTCCTCAAACTGTCTTTAAAAATGAGGTATTCCTTATGGTAATTTTTATAAAGTGCCTTTGGAAACAGCTATTCTACATAATTCACAAAAATCTTATACAATCCAAATATAATTGTCAAAGTTCCAAGAGTCAAATGTTATTACTTTAAAATATCACTAATGAACAGTAACTGGTCAGTAAGAGCTTTATATTTTCATAGAAAGATCCCTAAAGATAACAATGTTTAAGAAGCATAACTTCAGTTGAGATTTCAATAGAATGTATATGCTTATGCTTTCTTTTATAACCAGGAAAATAAGCTTCTAAAACTTCACCAGATAAACTTTCTCTAATGAATCACACGATAAATAAAACAAAAATGAAATTTTCTCTTGATTGATTTCATTATTACTTTAAAATTTCAATTCATTTCTTGCTGGCCAAATTGCTCTCTATTATTGGATTACGCACACTTACAGTTTATGAGTAATGTGCTGCTTCTTAAATAAGCAGAAATGAGGCAAGCTTTAAACTATCTCTTGGCACAGCAAACTGGCTGATCTCCAGATACTTCACTTCGGAGATGTCAAAGGAAGTTGGAATCTGGGATTTATTTGTGATCCCAGGTGTTTTCTACTTTGGGGATGAACTGAATATCTAAATGTGAGAATGCAGGATTTCCCAAGTGATCTTCACTAAGGAATCCCATTAATAATTAATAGATCAAAAATATTTTTATGAAATGGTGATTCTTCTTTTGGGTAGAAAAGTCAGAAAAATGTTCTAGTTTTGATTGTTTGATTCTTCATTATTCCTGAAGAAAAAAATATGTGGTTGGCATATACAATATCTGACATAAAAGTTGCAAAGACAAACTTCTTGAGGCTGTAAGAGATAAATTCTGAAGAGAGCTTTAGTTCATGTAATTTTTGTATTTTCTTTTCAGTTTGTTGCTTCTGGATGAATATATTTCTCATCCTCAAAATGTTGACAGCTCTTGTAGATTAGATATAATTGCTTCTATTAAATTCAATGTTAAGCAATTTCTATGCCACTATAAAAGTATAATATAAAGTGTTATATAATATATATATATATTTATATATATTTATATAATATAATATAATAATATGTAAGTATATTATTCATTTTCACTTCCTGTTTGCTTGGTCCTAGAGGGATGCAGTATTGGCATACCATTCATTTCAACTTTTTTCTAAAAATTTTATATTCTTGCATTAAGAAAAGTTTTAGAATAAGTATTGATATACAGAAATGTATAGTCAAAATGAATGCTGCAGAATCATGCAGGCAACATCTAATTATCCCAATGGTGGGCAGATATATGATCCTGAAAAATTCAAATTAGCCAGTCCTTAAAAATTATGTAAAAAAATATATGATAATCCTTATGCTTTCATAGAGAATACTTTGTCAATGCATGCAAAACAAAGCTTAAAGTCTTTTCACAAGAAAAGAAGAGGAATATACATACTGTAAGGGACACATTCATACTGCACTTCAAGGTATTTATAGGTTCCTGGACACGGGTCTGGAAAAACATCAGGACCTGCCACCACTGCACACTGCGTTCTGTTATTGCACCTGAAGTCAAAAGAAAAGAAGAAATAAGAAATTTATGGGAAGTTAAATCATTATTAACACCAGTATTAATTTTATTTGGTTCTTGTTACAAAGATTTTACACAAGGTTTTGGTCAATTTAGAATTTTAGACTTATGAAGGAAATATCTGTAGTACACTTAAAAAAACTGGAAATAAAAATCAATTCAGCCAGTTTACTCCTACTAACAAATTTAATATTTCAGCGAAAACGGTACGATTTTGAGTTAGAAGTTAAACACTGCTTAAGCAACACTAACTGGTCCTTAGGATATTGCCAATGGGAACACAGGTAAGGATTGTTTGCTAGGAATCACTCACTACCATTATTAAAAAAAAAATTGAGAAAATATGACCAGAGTTTTATTAGAAATTATAAAATAAATTCGCTCATTATCATAACATCTATTTTTTTAAGATTTTATTTATTTATTTGAGAAAGAGAGAATGAGAGACAGAAAGCACGAGAGGGAAGAGGGTCAGAGGGAGAAGCAGACTCCCCGCTGAGCAGGCAGCCTGACGCGGGACTTGATCCCTGGACTCCAGGATCATGACCTGAGCCGAAGGCAGTCGCTTAACTGACTGAGCCACCCAGGCACCCTGATTATCATAACATCTATTTTAAAGGCAGTGAAAATATGATGTGGAAAAGCATTTAGGCAAACCTAAAAAGTCAATAAAAATTTAATAATTGAATATTAAAATATACTTAAATTTAATTTATATAAACTGATACATTACTAACACCATAAGTTAAACCATTTTTAAGCATTGATGCTCATGTTCCTGTGTTCAGTCAAATAATTACACTAACCTCAGAGACTGCTGTTCACAAATGTCAATATCCTATAATTTAAAATAACTTTAAATCTCCAAAGAGAATAATCAAAAGCCACTACTGAGATAGAAATATAAACTCTGCATCTTTTGTGGCAATTGGGCTAAACAAATCTGGACTATGCAGACTTAATCATGGGTAAATATACATATAATGAAATTGATTCTTATTTTGAAAAAGACACCCAAGTTCAGAATGGCTTTGCTAAGGTAAATTTTACTTAGAAATTGTCTAGATTTGATAATTTATTGATAGGTAGATATTTCTATGGAAAAAACGATGTTTTTTTCCAACTATAATATTGTCACTAAGTGTATAGGATGAGACATTCTATAGTTATCTTCTGTTTTATGTTCTTGTTTATTCATCTCAGAAAAATAGTACCTTACAGCTAGAACTTTCCATTATGCCTTCTTGACGAGATGCTTCATTCTCTGATATGACCTTATACTTCCGTATCCTTCCTTGATACTAGAAGGATAAGGAGCATCAAGGGCAGACCTCAGTTTGATTTACTGTGAAAATGCTTTGTGTTTACTGGAGGCTACTATTTGTTGGCCTTAATGAAATTTATTTAGTCCCTAAATTAAAACTGATTCATTAGTGAATGTTGTAAGCTGAAAAATATATTCTGTGTGATCAGTGGAAGATTAATAAAAGTCAATATTCCATACTTATCCAGCAATTTAGCATAACAGTTAATGCTGAGGATCAACATGTCCCTAAAGTTCTCTTATGTGGATTTAATGTCTGAGGGTGATTATTAGACATCTGTATAATGACATTAGTGTAAATATGGCTGTTCTCACACATATGCTGTAAGTAGGCACCTTGCCACGTTAGTGTACTCAGACTTTCAAAAAATAGCAGCACTTCTCTTTTACAAAGAAAACTTTTTGAAGGAGATGTCTCAAGTTAAAATACATGTTACTTTGCAAATAAGGTATATGATTTTCACATCATGCTTGAAAAAAAACCTCATAAATCAATCTCAGGTGTTTATAAAATGAGCATATATAAAAACTTACAGTTATTTCTGTAATTTGTCAAAGTTATCAGGAATACATTTGAAGTAAAAATAATTAATAAAAGAAGTATATACCATGAAATTTAGTAAAATATAAATATTCTGTAAAAGTAATATTTCTGATCTGCAGTCATTGTCATGGCAAGTTTGAAATATATATATTATATATATATATATATATGTATTGCTTTCTTTCTTGGTCTACTGTTGTTTTACACCCTATTATCAACATTTTATTCTAATTACTACAGTTCAAATAATAAAATTCATTTAGAAGTTGTGTGTATTCTTGTAATATTCTGATATAGAAGGGCAACTAACACATCTTTTATTATTTAAACAATCATTGTTTTATATCAACAGACAGATTACTAGTAATTTATGAGTTGGGCGCAAAGGTTAAAATTTACAATTATGTAAGTGTTAGTTGCACAGAAAGTGGTCTTGAATCAGAGATTTCAAATGGTTATTGTCTGTATAGACTGGATTAAAAAATATAATATGAACACTATAATAATCCACCTATCCACTTATCTATCTAGACATGTGCAACATCCAATTTACATATTACATATTATTTAAGTTATATAAATACAAATTATTTTTGTATATATAAGAAAATTAAGTGATCATTTGCTGTAAACATTAGACACCTTTGTAAGTCCCAAATATCTTACTCAATGTTAACCAAAAATAAGTCAAATAAGCCTTTCAACTAATGAGACAGTGTATGTGAAGAGGTATATAAACCAAAACATGCTATACCAATAATATATTTGCAGTCATTAGCATCATTGTTCTGCATTTAAAACATTAACTTTTCAAAATAATTCCATATTTTATTAATAATTCCATATTAAATGTTCTTTATAAGTTAAGATTCTTAAAAATCAGGGAGAAAGGTAGATAATCTCTAGAATATTATTCTTGTATATGATATATTCTAGTATTGATTGTTTAAAGACTACATTTCAAAAACAGAAGTTTAATGGTTCTGTCTTCTTTTTTAATGACTTCAGTTACTAGAAATAAAAATGAAATTAACTATACTTCTGATGAAAACTTATTGAACAATGAACAACTGACACCAGTATGAGTAGTTTTATATACATTTATAGTAATGTCAAAATTGTTAAATTCATTCTAAAATATTATAGATGATAAATGTGAAATAATCAAATGTTCTCATGTGCCTTAAACTCAGAATTTTTCATTGTTTACTTTTAATGTAAATATAAATTTAAAAATGATTTTCAGTATCCTTGATATTAAAGATACTTTCAAAACCCACAATAAAGGATAAGAAAAGAATGCAATAATATGGTCCAATGCATCCTAATCCACTAACATTCACAGAGGAAACATCATAATCTTATGAAAGTATTAAGGCATACTTACAGTGACAGAAGTTTCAGTATTTTTTCAACAGAAACTTTATGCAATAAAAAAAAAAAAAATCCACTTCAGTAACAGACAGTTTTGAAGAGAAATGGCCGAAGGGGGTCAAAAGTTTCACACTTCCAGTTATAAAATAATAAAATCATGGGATGCAATGTATAGCTTGGTGATTATAGTTAATAATACTATACATTTGAAAGTTGCTAAGGGTAGACAGTATGTATAAGCAGATAGCACTCACAAATACCAAACTGTATTCTCAGAGAAATCTCTTGGAGTTTGACTTTTCACTTACATAACATGGAAGCCAGTTATTTTATTCCTTCACAAAGTTGATGTGTTTATAAAAATGCATTAGAAAAAAATGTAAAATACTATATATATGCACTAAGTACACTTTTGGTTGTCACAGTTACCATTACTATCAATATTAACATTTGTTTCAGGGTAGGTTAACAATATTTCATTTCAAAAGACTGAGTCTTTTCAGAGGAACATTCAAAGAAGTAGCAGGCAGAAAAGCATATAAATTCTTGGGGTTTAGACTAGAAATAAGAGAAAGCAGATTCAGATTTTAAAAAACCAAAGAAACTTAAGCCAAGTCATTAGTTGTATGCAAACTCTTCACCTGGGACACCCTAAGTCCAAAATTTAAAGTAACGATGTCCTATATTTGTGTAACCCTTCGCATTTATAAAGCATATTCATATATATCCTACTTGTCACCTCTTTTATGAAATGAGTAGTACTACCTCCAATTTCACAGAAGAGGGAATAGGTGTGAAGATGATAAATGACTTTTCAGACTCTCAGAAATCAAATGGTAGTCACTGGATACCAGAACAGTGACCTAAAAACCGTGTTACTGCTATCTTCTGAAATGTATGAATGTCTTCATATATTTCATGGTCATTCTGGAAAACTTATTTAATTCACTCTGATAGGTTCTTAGGGGTACTATGATGATCTGATGAGGTAGAGACCAGGTGTAATATATCCAAGTAGCCCAGGATTCCTTCAGTCATGATGTGGATCAGGCATTCCAAGGAGATTCAGAATTTAAATTAACATTACAAAACCAGGCCCCCTCAATCCAAATTGGTATGTAGCGATTGGAAAGATCAGTCTCTGAGCCTAAAGGAGCAAAGGATGAATGAATATTTATTCAGATGTTTGCGAAAGAAAAAAACCAAAAACATGCCCTTTTAATTCAACCCACATATAAATCTTCAACGTACGTCCAGTTGCCATCCACTGATCAGTTTTATTTAATAAATGTTATTTAATATGTTGAATGCTATTGATTGTCAGCACTAATTTTAAAGCAATATTCTTTATTTTTTAATGTCTTATGATGACTGCCAGGAAAAATATACACAATCACAGGATTACTAATAGGATACAGAATCATTTACTGCTTAATTATTCATTCCAATATGGTTCAGAGCAGCATAGGAACAAAGTTAAGTGTGATAATGAAAAAATCACCTTTGGATAAAAAAGTTCCTCTATTTGCCACAACATAGTGCAGCATACAGTGAAAACGATATTGCTACGTTTATGTGCATATCAACTATTCATTTGAGTTCTTCTTATATATAAAATAATCAGCCTCTTTTCCGCTAAATACAATAAAGTGATCTTTGTTTTAACTTCCATTATCCAAATAAAAATTATCAGCTATTATCTCATTTTTGGTTACAAATATTTATAGGTTAAG